ATCGACAGTCTGAGACTCTTCCCTCAAATCTCAAAGTTACCGTGGCACATACCTTGGTGGGTATTTCTGGAAGACATCAGGATGAGGAGTCCACTGGCCCAGGTGGCCAAAAGCGGCCCAGAAAACGGTGGTGGCAGGCTGCCCCAGGTACCCAAGCCTTCTTTCTCAGTCAGCTGCAAGAATGTTCTCAGCCTGCTGAGCCTGCCCACTGCGGAAGCCGGATCCAACCTAAGACTCCTGAAGCTCTGAGGCAGGTCTGTGAGGGATCGGGAGCCCTAAACACTTCTGGCAGCTCAGAGTGGCACAACCCCAACCTAAAACAAAGGAAAGCCACAGCCCTCACTAACCGGTACATTGTGCTGAGACAGAGGTCTGCACCAAAACCCTTTGCAACACAAACACCCCCTCAACCTGGGTTCAGAAGGTGTGCGGCCCCCCGACCTGAGGATTAAGAACCAGTGAAGCGAGGCCACCTGTACTTGCTGGCCTGTGGTATCTCCTAGAGTAGGCACTCAGTCTGTCTGAAAACAGGGTCATGCTCACGTGTGGACAACTCTTGCCCTGAAAACTAACCACCTCACAGCACAAAAGCTCCACCACGTGTTTAATACCTATCCCTCCGGTTTTAAACTGCACTGGAACATGGTGAAATCAGTCCATTTCCAAGACTGGAGATTCTAAGTTCATCTCCCACAATGACTTATGTCACCCCAAGTGTATTACCCAATGCCAACTCCTAAATATCCATCAATCAACCTGCATATTTTTTAATGGCTACATACATGAAAGACAAGTATTAGGAAGGTTACACTCCAAAACTATTCAGGTTTTACCTTTGGGGGGTACAAATTACAAGAGCCTTTATATTAATGTCTAACATTTTAATTCTCCTTACAAAAATGCATGTGGGTTAGTTTTTCTTAATGTGCTGTTGCAAAAATTATCAGCCACATCCCAGAGCACTCAAGGGTTCCCCTGATGGGGAGGCAGATTATAGGTGTAGACGTAAATGCACCCAAGGAATTGGGGTCATTGAGCTTCACATCATTTTTTTTCTTCCAATATACCTATTTCACAGACGATGAAACCAGCCCAAAGAGGCAAACTTACCCAGGTTCTCACACCCAGTTTAAGTGGTGGAGTCAGCATTCAAATCCACAGGATTTCGAGCAAAGATTCTTCCTTTAAACAAGGGGGCAAAAAGCAAATGAAAATGGTAAGATCACCCCTACCTGCAAATGGCACAGATACCCGACACTGGCTCAGATGTAGGCAGAACCATATGGATGCTTTCATTAACCGGTACTTTGCAGAAGGTCCTTCGGTAGGACCCATTAGTATTTTAAATCTGAATTCCTTTGAACCGACCATTTTTACCTGCAGAAATGGATCCTACAGAAATTTAAAGAAACTACAATGTTCACTACTGTACTACCGCTAATTAGGAGAAGCTAAAGGCCCATCCATACAAGGCAGTACCATTCGGTCATAAAATCATCAGCATATATGTTCTGATGCAGGAAAGATCTGTGCACACACTGTAAGCAGCTATGTGGCTGGACTTCGGGGAGTTTTAAGTGTTTCTTCAAAGCATTAATGCCGTACAAATGCAACAGAGAGGTCCTCGGAAACGCAGAACAGCATCAGGGAGACTTCCCAATTTTCCCAAGGACCACCCGATCCATGTTGGACCCTCCAAACTTGTTGGGTGTCCTACCTAGGCTGCCGTCTGCTGAACTTCACAGAGAACGTGCAGGAGTGTAGCAGAAAGTTAAAGCCTGGATCTCAGCGCATCACATGCTTCAGTGCAAACTCAGAGAGACAGGATGGCCAGCCTGGGGGTGTGGGCCTGCTGCTCACTCTGAGATGTCAAACGTTACACACCGCAGAAACACTGCAGTGAGGAGTCTGCAAGCTGCCCGTGGTGAGGTCAGGTCATCTGAACAGAGTGGGAACAACTTCCAATGAGGGGGAGCAGATACTACAGACATCTGACCACAACCACCTCCTTTAAATTAAATGGATGAACCTTCAGTTTCTTGTAACTTTAGAATAAACAACGGCTGCTCTGGCAGAACCTTTCAAGTTACCCCCCCACACCCCAACCTGGAGAGTCCAGAATATATCTCTGAAGATCCCCCACCCTGTAACTAGACACCTAGGTAGTCATTCTCATGAAGCGGCAGGCTCTAACAAACAATATGGAATCAAATGCGACGAGTGAGGTAAATATACTAACATAGTCACCATACCCCTCAAAAGATCATGCCAAAAATTTAGTGATTCATTCATAATACTCTTCTAAAATTAACTCCGCAGCCCATGTTCCCAACTAGGTCCCCAGCTCCCTCCATTTCCAAATCATCCCTTGGTGTCTTGCACCTTCATTGCGCTGAGGTTGGCTCATCCTCTGTCAGGCCTTGGCCACCCCCTCTGACTTACACAGGAAGAAGCCAGCCCCACTTTCACGGCTGGAGGGAACCCCTACGGCCCAAAGACACAGGCCAATTTAATGTGTTCCAATAGCCCCTAGGGGGGGAAAAAAATTAAGAAGGCTGGTTCTTTTCTAAAAGCCTGAACTTGATTACATCAAAAAAGTTAATTCAGATGTGATGACCAAAACAAAACTGCAGACAAGCCCCATAGTTTTTCGGTTTTTTAAATTATTTATTCATTGAATGATTTAAGGTGTGTACCACTACTCCAGTTGGGTAAACCACATTGAAGAATTTGACTGCGGGTCTTTAGATTCAGCCAAATGCTTTCCATTAATTTTGCTCTATAAAATACTAAACATTATAATTAAGTTTTTAATGCTTCAGCCATGCTCAGAACACTGCAGTGTAAGGATGAACTCAACCCACTCATGCCAAGTTAGGGTGACGAGAACAGATCTAACGAGCCATGATGTCTAAAAGAATCCGAGAATCTAGGTTAAAAGATAAAGGGAGGCTCTGTTCCCCCAAAGTAAACTGTTAAGTTTTAAAATTCAGCCTACACTGTTCTCAAGAGACTGAAAAAAAAAATGTTTTTTTCAATGTTATTTAAAAAAGTACCACACAATATGCAATCTTCCATGATTTGTTTGGATCTAAAATGGCACAATCAAAGGCTTCAAAAATCTAGCAGTCAGAACTAAGTCTTCCTATGAGAAGAAATCGTTTCCCTTTCTACTCCTAGATCTTAACAGTTACTTTGTGCTCAGGGGGCGCGGGAGAGAGCAATGAGACAGAGCACGCAGAGGAGTTACGAGGAGGTTGACAAAGAGCATTTGAGATTAAATGCAGTGGAAAAAAGTAACGAGTGCTAAAGTTTTTAAAAAGTTTAATGGAGCCAATAAGGCATATAAATCGTGTTCTGGCAGACACAAGACCTGCTTTCTCTTACCAAAGAAAATGGCACATGTTTTATCAAAATTTGACAATCAAGAGTAAAGGGTACTGAGATTAAGCGTCAGAGCACCAACTAAAACAAAAACAACCAAAAATAAAAAATTGTTATTCAACTGAGAGGGAGGAACTAGAACCGAGGCATAAGGGGGAGGTTATACAGCTGTTCCTCAATCTCAAAATCCTTTACGAAGAGGAGTTCTGGCCACTTGTGGGCAACGCTTCACACCACCAAACGCCAATTCCAGAATCTAAATTGACAACGATAGAAAAACAGCGGTAACTCCAAATGCATTTCTGGGCATGGTCCAAAGGGAAGCGTAAAGGTATTCATAATACATAGGCTTGTCTGTTTCAGGTAAAATGACAGATTGAACGTATCAAACAAAAACTGATCCACTTTTGCAAAAATTTAGAAATACCTCACTTTTGTTCCTAGTTTTAGTATGGAATTGACTTGGTTTTTCTTTTTTTTAAAATAAGGTCTAGATCTATAAGGAGTACAGAACTTCAGCTCACACATTCCATTCACCTCCCACCCAGTCAATGAATTTTATGGTTAACTCAGCAGTTTCTTCACAGAAAGATTATTATTAAATGGCTGAAGGAATTGCAAACTTTAACAAAGTGCTGTGAGTAATTACTGGAAAAACCCTTACACTGATTTGCAATGGTCTTTTCAGGATAAAAACAGAAGTTAACTGATACTGGACTACAAGTTTGCAAGGAAACATTTTCACTGTCCTACTTGATATATAATATAATAATATGATAGAATAAATTACAGTACCTGGCAGGCTGACATCAGTTCTTCATCTAAAAAAGACTATCATTCAGTTCAAGATATTAAAAATGAAGAGGAAACAATCAAACATGCTCTAAAACATTGTGGCTACAAGAGGTCTTACAGGGACTCAAGAGGATCTACTCGGAACCTTTATTTAGGTCTACCTAACACCTAGAGAGCCTCCATGCGATTCCATCTCTTAGAGAATGAGATTCCAAACTGCACTTGTTAGGGGAGAGGGACCAGAGAGTGCTACTTAAGTTGTGACCACATTATTAGCAGATAAAAGACCTTTATCTTCTGCCATTCCAATGGAAACTGCACACAAAGTAGGGCAATTCATGAAAAATGTACTACGGGACACGAAAAGACTGGAATACCTACCCTCCCCCACCGTCCATCTCCCTCTCACTAATACTGAACCGAAAAGGAAGCCCATCCTCAAAGTTCATGATCTCTCTACTTTAGGTCCCCCTTGAATGCAGTCTACGTGTTTACATTTACCATAAGGAACAGTACCCTGCGTGGGAAGTAGTACTTGTCTTAAAACGGGAGTATTTTAAGCCTACAGGGTCAGTATGGGGGCAATTTAATAGTATTGCTACTTTTAGAGCGCTAACACACACAAAGTGAATCCGATAAAAGTTCTGTGTATTGATTCAATATTAAGTATTAATTGCATGACCATCATAGCACCTCTTTACATCACAATCACCAGAATTAGAAACTGCTTGGAAAACTGAAAACAGGGCATAGTCCAATCATTAGAAGTCGCACGCTGTGACTCCAAAGAGCCCAGGTGCATGATCTAGTGCTGCAAAAAAAAAAAAAAAAAAATGGAAGCCTGCAGATTTGACAAGGAAGCCAAATCGTGGGTTTGAGATAATTTTAGGAACCTGGCAATACTGTTGAAGCAAAATACTCAACACAGCAGGAAATGGACCAAGGAGAGGAAGGGGGGGAAAAAAGGCATTCCAAAACCAAATAAACATCTGATATTTCCTTTCCCTTTGAGAATAAATACAGTTAAGGTCACTTTTAGCCTTGGAACGGATATATGTTTGCCTATGATGATCTTGCTAATGACTACACGATTCTGATGTCCTCTGCTAGGATTATAGTTTTAGGAAAGCCATAGTTACAAGAGGCATCTACTGTAAATACCTAGAACTTCCTTTTATGGCAACCACTACAGAATTCACTTGTCTTAAACAGTGAACAAGGGAAGATGGCCTCATGTTTCCTTTGCAATAATATATGTTGAGGATCAAGTGGCTTTCAAGCAGCATGGTGGGTGTGAAAATGTTTGCAGTTTAGATCATTCTGTTGCGTTTATGGGTTGGTGAGTCTGTAATGACATCGCCACACTGGGCTGAGGTACGCTTTCTAGTTCCACCATTGTCCAAGTGGAGTGCCATTTCTTCTGATATGAAAGTGTTCAAATCGACATCATGGAGTCCATTTCTCCTTCGACTAGCATTCGATCCACTGCTTACATGTGTAGGAGAGCCTGGGGTACTCGAACGCACGCTTATACTAGCCATTGCACCACTAAGACCTAGGAAGAAGAAAAAAGGTTTTAGAGTTGCTCGATTATTGAACCCTCTTGAAAGCAACCCACTTTACGTTCAATGTTTCATAGGGTCAAAGGATGTCTCCCTGTTTTCTTAAGGGGGGGTCACCAGGGAGCAGTTTATGTTTTCTTCTGGAAAAACGAATCAATGGGCTTTTGATGTAGATGTTTTATTATTGTTAATACTACCAATATTTACAATATTGATAATTACCAATTACTGGAAGCATATTAGGTCGTAAGCACCTTGCTAGGTGTACACACATATCACAAAACCCTCCCACCACCTACTCTACTCGGTATGTATGTTACTTGTAGTTTATGGCTGAGGACAGCAGGTGCTTGCTTTTAAACAGGTCAGTTTGGTTATCCAGTTACCATCCCCAACAGATCATTCCAGTGTGTTTATGTGCACACAAGGGAGCAAGCAATCATTTCCAGGCCTGAGCGGGCTTGTTCCAACTACCCCTTCAAAAGTTGACTTTATAATTTATCATCCAAAACAGTGCACTCTTGAGCCCAAAAAAGGGGTCATTATTAAAAAGTATGCTGGGACATCAAGTACAGTCGGTCTGCCCTTGGACAAATCAAGCTATATGATCACCCAAGGTCTGGACTGTATTTGGTAGATACTCCTTTGGACAGCCTTATTACCATATATAATCCCTCAGAGGAGGGAACACGAGGATGGTATAAAAAAAAATCCTGCTGCTTTCAAGGTTGAATTAAATCCAGAACAGACCCAGCACTCATCGTTGGACACTCATTCCTTAGACTCTTGAATAGCTAAGGAGGCAAACTTATGTTCCACTCTGAAATGTATAGGATAATAAACCTGTGAAAGGAACAAGTGAGGCCAGGAAACATTAACCATAGTGTTGAATTTGAAAACCTCACATCACGGGCAGTGGATGTGCCTTATAAACTTCCCCTTACATTATTCTAGCCTCACACAGGGATTGTGCTATTGCTGGACTATTACAGAGTATGGTCTAATATAATCCATGTTCCCAAAGAGCAGAACTTGTATCTTAGATTTTAAAATAAGCTTACAGGTTGGTTTGGTAGGGGCCCGTTCTTTCTAATTTTATACTCTGTAAATGTGATTTAAATTTGAACATTTAAGTCGAGAAAAAATCCTCTGCTTTCTACCACATCAAATCAATTAATAAATTCCCTTCGACATTGTTCTTACACTACAAATACTCTGTGACCATTCTCAGGCCCGTGGCCTCAACAGTCTCCCTTAGGATGATCCTGTTCTGCAGCCCACACCTCTTCTGACTGCTCTCAAACTCCCTCCCTGGTACCGATCAGCCCCCTCACTGCTCTCCCTGTGGAAGATGCGTCCTCCCTCCCCACTGGTGGCCAGAGGAAGGCTGATCACGCCCCTCTTTAGCTCCATACCGTTCCAAGGCTGGTGCCTATTAAAAAAAAAAAAAAAGAAAAAAAAGACAAAGGCACTAATCTTGGAGCTCTTCCTGTGTTAGGCGCTACGTACTTTTAAATTTCATCCTCAAAATAATCCTCTGCCATCTGTATTACCAGTTTTGCGGATGAGAAACCGAGGTTAATGAGAAACCGAGCCCAAAATGCTCTAAGGTTAAGCGAGCGACCCAAGGTCACACAGCCAGTGAGCAAGAGCTGGGGCTCAAACTCAAGCACGATCTAAGATCTCCCCTTCACTGTGACCCTGCCCCTTCTTAAGGTCAACATTTCAGCAGGAAGTGGCGACAGGGTCTAGAGTCTGGCCTGCCTCAGGCCTCACTCAACAGTTAGCTTCTCTCCCTTCTTGCAGGAGAGCGTGGATGTGCGCTGCCAAAGCAAAGGATCTGCGGTTCCTTCTGAGGATCTCTTTCCGAAGGTCGGGCCTGTGCCTCCCAATATTTGCTCCTGCCGACTGAGGCCCCTAGTTCCTCAGCAGCTCCTGCCCGCTCAGGCTTCTTTCCTGGTTCTCCTACCTCTCTCCTTTTTTAGTATCTTGCTGGCTCCTCTTCCCTCCTGCTTGAAACTCTCCGCTCCTTCCTGTTCTCCAGCCTGCCAGCTCCATCAGTGGCCTCTGTGGGCTTCTCTTCTGCCCCTGACAGGCTGGTGTCCCCCAGGGTGGTGTCCTTGACCCCTGAGCTTACCTACAGGCATCGTTTTCCACAGGAGCAGGCATTTCTCCTGAGCTTAAGGACCCATCCGTATTTCTAACTGCCTGCTGGACATCTCCAGTGTTAACACCAAAAATGAACCACGCTTCCTCCTCAGCCCACACGGGTTTATTAAACATAAAGAAAAAGAAGGGAAAGAAACGTCCTGGGCTCATCTTACACAGTGCAGTAGGATCTTTTGTCTCTTCCTATTGACAGGGTCGTTTCATCTCTACCTAATGCCCTCGGTGCCTGGCACACAGCATTCACCGAATTCTGAAAACAGGAGGGTGCGTCAAAGTCCTGCCCATTTTGAAACCCACTGAAATCCAAAGCTGCTGACGTTCATTCACCTCTCCAACACCAGGAAACAAACCCAGGTGGTTTTCCTCTCTTAAATCTTTGCCATCAAGTTTTAAAAAACTCAATTATTCCCAAATTGCTGGCATTTTTTTCCAGCTCTCCACCACAGTTTGAGCGGAGAGCTGTGCTTTCTTTTTTCTAACCTAGCAGTCCATAACCAACTACTAAAAGGTGTCCAAGAACTTAAGACAATAACCTTTTCATAGCTGTTTCATAATGCAGGAAGTCCTAAGGAGATTACACTGCAAAATGTGGGCCTTCTGCACGAAACTGGGCTACTTCAATAATTAAACTGAGGATCCCTTTATCATTTGAAACCACCAAGAGAACTCAACAACCCCCGCCCCCCGCCCCAGAACCCCTCTTGTTAACATAGCAACGTGTTTAACACCTAAGGGACAAATACCCAAGGCTCACAGAATACTCCACCAGAAGTGAACAGGCACATCAAGCAAATACTTCTATTGCTTCCACTGCTATTCTCCATGAAAAAGAAGAGATATTAAATTATCAATTTGGTCAATTTGAAAATTCCCCAGTAACTGCTGGAAAATCACAATCTTTTTTCTGTTGCGTGTATGACTCGGGGCTTAGTTTGGAAGCTAAAGTCAAGTCACAATGTGCCACATTACCTGCTTCCTATCTACTCTCAGCAGTGAAAATTCTTCTCAAAGTTTAATGATCTAAAATCCTCCCCAAAAAGACTTTTCAAAAGTGTCAAAAAAAAAAAAATTAAGATGAACAACCAAAAAATATATTATTTTAAACAGCCCAAATTTTATTTTATAAACCAATGACAGCTACTGGAAGATGCTTCAGGAAACCTTAGCTAAGCCAATGATCAGGCCTATACAAGTACAGAGAGTCTAGACATGCTTCAGAACTAAAAACTAAGTTGTACGGCCCAAGGGCTTACAACTTAATTTCTACCAAAACACACTTTTTCAAAAGGGCTATGGGAATATCAATTGACAAAAGCAGCAGAACAAGTAGTATGATTAGACAGAAAAGTCTCCATTGCTTAATACAAGATAAACTCAATCAGTTTTAGTTTCTGCATCCAATTTAAATGATTAGTGCAGGAGTAGGAAAAAAAAAAAGATTAGGCTGATTTCATCATACTTTGAAAAGAAAGCTCCCACTGGAGCTAAAACAAAGTCACAGTCCAGGTTATAGGAATCTATGTTACATGGTCAGTTGTTAAAAGTAGCACATAACTATTATTTTCATACCAAATTCATGCTTGAGATAGTAAGAAAATCCTGTTTCCAGAATTAATTCCATGTCATTCCAGTTTCCCAGCACGGAGTCAGGTCACAGGCACGGAAAGATCAAGCGCCGAACCGGCCCACCTCCCTTCCTCTGTCCGGCAGCCCGTGGCCTGGGGGCTGCATCTACACTGTCTACTCGCTCCCCAACCCCCTGCAGCCTGCGAGGGCAGAGGGCCAGCCCTGGAGGAGAATACACGGGCTGTCATTACGGTCGATCCACTCAGCACAGGCTCAGGACCCTGGGCAGATATGCTCCACCAGTTCTCCCATCTCCAGTATGAAAGGGGGGATTTGAAATCCCCACCATTTGAACAAAGTGAGAACTTCCTGACTGGAACCCCAGGACACTGGCATTCTTGCATTTCAAATGAACTGCGCTATTCAAGTGGGTAGCGCTCCCTTTGCAGAGTGGTGTTCTGAGGTTTTAAGCAAGCAAGCACTTGTGTGTAAAATGTCGTGTTTAAATGCACCAGGGAAGGAGTTCAAATCATGGAAAAAGGAATTCTACTAAGATTTTAGTAATTTGAAGTAGATACCACTCCCCACCCCAATATGTAAATTGTAATACTGAATTTTTATTGAAGTAAAGCACACTAAATCAAACCAATTACAAAGATACATGTGTCACACCAAGAAAACATTTTCAGTTATGCTGACAGCCCAATGCTTTCAAATTTTTCAAAGACAGTTTTAATGCCATGGGAAAAATGCTCACGTTAAAATGAAAAAAGCAAGATACAGTACCATATATGCAGTATGATCTCAACTATGAAATAGTTTTAATATTTATACATTGAAAAAAAGACTGAAAGAAAATGCACCAAACATTTAACTGTAGTTATCTCTATATAGTGGGATAACAAGATACTGAATTTTTTACTTTTCGGAAATTTTCAAACTTTCCAAGAGAAACTGGTATTTATAAATCAGAAAACTAGTGGAAAAATTAAACTCAAATGTTAAAGTGCTTCATAACTACCAGTACTAGGTGAGTAAACTGACTGAGGCATAGCTACATGGACTCCTTTTCACGTCAATGAGAAAATGTCCAACAAAATTTTACTGCAAGTTCCAAACAATTTCATATCAATGATGTTGGTAGCTTTAGTTAAGTCCTACCCCAGAAACTTGAGCAGCTAATATCTAATCTTAATATACAGAAAATGCCAACTTTTCATCAAAAATGTTAATGCTGTGTTAATTGCCTTCATTGTTC